TTTTTCGGAGACATCAGTAGACAGAGTTAACAAACACAGACAGCATGCAGGGCCATGCCTACTAATCAAAATCAGCGGCTACAGAGTTCATCACCGGTTTCGGACGCTGGTTCGCCAGCAATGTCGCCGGAAGCAGCATTCACCCACGAATTCTCCCGCATCACCAGCTACTCCGTCAAGACGTTTGCTAATGAACTGAGGGCCGAGTAGCCATCGCTTAAGCAGCCCACGAATAGCACGGTTGCCATCTCTGGGATAAATTCCAGCCTCGTACAAAATAAAAGTTTTGACCGGGTCCTACTGAGTTAGATGCGACTTGAGATCTGATACTTTATTCCGATTGCAAGTGATTATGTAGCCCCACCTGAGGTAAACAAACTCCAGCCACCTGTAAAACGATACCGTTGGTAACAGGGGTTTTGCAGGCGGGGTCGGGGAACGCACAGGCGAGGAGGTCAAGCAGTTGTATGCAAAAGAACAGCTATTGTGAATGAGCGGTTGTACTTTGAATAGTTGATAAGTAGTTGTCCTAATCCCTAACCCTAAAACCTAAATCCAACCCCTAACTCCTAACCCTAATCCTAGCCTCAACCCTAACCCTTAACCGCCGCCCTAAACCGGCTCCAGTATTAAAGGTAACTGAGGTTTGTTTACTTCAGGTGGGGCTACATAACCACATCCGATAGAAACGAGTTCTAAACAGAACCCACGAGGAAGTAAGTGTGATAGCTAGGACATCAGCAAATATGAAGGCAATGCATATTCCAACAGCTGACCCTTCTTTAAAAATAGCATGAACTACTTCCGTCCAACCTAGAAGATCTCTACTCCCCCTAGGGATGGTTTATACAAAAAACTATGCTTATATGCCTTTTAAAAATCATTTCAAAGGTGCTGCCCAACAACGTGGTCTAGCATTGAAGTTTTTTGTATTTTTAGCTGATTATCGATGTCGTTATAAATGCAAGCGTATTTTATGGAAAACATGCTTAAAAATACACGTTATTGCACTTATTTGGTAGGAAAGTACGTCTACTTTAAAGTCGAAACTCTAGCAAAGGAGGTCTTTTGGTTTTAAAAAGGCTTTTCAATTTTTGAGTAATTTTGAACCCGATCTGTCGTTGCATCTTGTTTTGGGTCTACGATCTAAGGCTGTATATTTTCCATTCAAGGAACTATATGCATGCCATTAAGGAGGTACCATATCGGACGCATAAAACGTTGCAGTGGATGTATACTGTGCCGAATACTTCATCAGGAGCGTTGATAAACGGATAGATACGATGGTATTTGATCGGGCGTTTCATGGCCTTGAAAATCCCCATAATTACAAACGGTTTAAATCGAAACATATACTTCCTTCAAACATACAATTTGACGAAGGTTCGAGTTGTTGCGACATGAGTACAAGGAAAGGTGTTTTTGCGTATGTCATCGATAAAATATAGTTGAATTCATAAATATATCAAAAGTCAAGGGGAAAACAGTTGGACTCGGGAACAGGAACCCTCGCAACACAGATGTCCTTGCCTTTAATTCCAGGAAGATAAGGGCTAGAGTTAAGATGGAACTAGGCAGAAGGTTAAGGACGTACTTAGGGTTAGGACTAGGCACAGTGGTAAGATTAGGATTAGGACGCGAAAATAGGTACCCCTCCTGGATTTTGGCGCCAGGTCGTAATCATGCCCACGTCTCGTTAAAAAAACTCCCATGAAATCCCAGCTCAGATGAAATGTCCCGAATTTATGCTGCACGATTATCAGTATTACAACCTCACCTGGGTAATCCTTCCTAATCTAAAACGCACTGGCATTTCATAAGATCGGTCACCTACTACACGTAAATACTTCGCAGTGGCGTCAAGGCCTTCAGTTCTTGAGACCGCATACCCAAATGAATTTCGTCAGTTCATTCGAAACACTTTGTTATGGCTCATGTCTGTTTTGGCAAGCACATCACCAAGGTGTAACACTAACCCCCAGATACCGGCCGTTTTGACCACTTTGCCAAACTATACCAGTAAAAGGACTCAAGGAAAGTTGAAAGGGCGCATTCTCTGATTTTTCCATTTCCTTCATGGGCATGTGGTGTAGACGACGGAATAAATAACTAATTAGCACAAAAATAGGGGAGAATTCCATTTAGGCAATGATTTTTCAGCTCGAAGGCAGCGAAACGCCTAGATAATACTCCTCTTGTGAGAGACGGAATGGTTACACTCAAAATGTAGGACGACCTCTGAGTATGGTTCTTTGCGATAAACTGAAGTGTGAAGAGATCCATCCGTTTTTCGGCATACGAGGATATCCAGAAATGGGAGTTGTCCACCAACCTGTTGCGAAAGTTAACTTGATTCCTGGAAATGTGGAGTTACGATTCGTGTTAAGCAGGTCTAATTGGTTTTTCTTGACAATGACAAATGTGTCGTCAACATAGCGCAGCCATAGTTTTCAGTTAATTGTAAAAAGAGCTATAAACTCCAGTTTCTGCATTATGGCTTCTGCTAGAAAGCCAGACATGGGCAAACCCATAGGAACATTTTTCGGTTGCCGATAACATTGTTTGGCGAAAGAAAAGTTGGTTTCTAGACAAACATCAATAGAGCGTTGGCAGGCACATCAGTGGTGTAGGTCTGAGGGACTTCTTCAGTGCAGCGTCTCGCTAAATCTAATCGAATCGAGGTGAAGAGAGAGACTACTTTGAATGAAACCACTATCTCGTCGGTTGCAACACTCACTCCTTTTTATTTGTCTAGGAACTCATTCCAATCTTTAATGAGTTTTCAGAACCATTTGTAAGTGGATACAGATTATGAAATAGCCACTTAGAAATCTTGTAGTTTGGTGCACCGATTAGGCAGACTATCGGTCGCAGTGGAGTATCCCATTTTGTGAACATGCGCATATACACATACATATACAAAGAAACATACCCAGTGGTCATCCTACATCCTGTTTCTGGACGTGTCCCGCAACTTGAACAGCGAACAGCCTTTCTGCAACAGTGCTTATTCCCCCATCACAATCTGTAGGACAACGAGTCCATGTGTTGCCGAGGACATGTTGGGTTTAAACGCGCATAATAATCGAAGAAGTCGGGATCGAATGTCTGGCGATATGACAGCTGATATGTCCGCAATGGCCATTTTAAACTTTTTTTGCTTTTGGCGGTTTACTGGTGTCTGACGCCTGGCAGGGCGATTTAGGAGAAAAAGATGGGAAGGCCTGTACGTAGCAGTTGTTCTGAAGCCCATGAGAGACGCACTCCAGGGTGGATGTCACGCAAACCATCAGAGGCGACACCGACGACGGAGTGGATGTCATCGTTGGTGCGTGATTTCTTTTGTAGCCTTCAGTTGTACAGATGCCACGTCAAGAAGGATCTATTACAGCCCGAATTTCTGTTATGAGGGGGAAGCCGAGTTATCCATTCAGTCGGAAACATTTCAAACCATGACAGACAGACATATAAGTAATTCTTGAGCAATGCAACCACATTTTAGCAATATCATATTTGCTTTAAAATTTAGTATAGTTAGATATACTTATTCTAGTTACTGCTCTACATTAATACCGTCAGCAACATTTTGTTGGGTAAGTATCACTCGAAAACCAATTTGAGGTTTTCGTCTTAACTCACCCTCCAGGTGTTTTTTTTTAAATTCGGCCCAGTCTATCATGTTTAATTTACCTTCCGAATAACTAGAGGCCGCAAATTCGTCAAAAAGAATATTTGAAAAATTGTAGGATGTTCATAATATACAGCCAGTATGCGCTCAAACGCTGTGTTAACCCAGATTTGGATATGGCTCTTCATCCCACAACCCTACTACCAGAAGCGTGAACGAAAGCACTTGACGTCGTCACTAAAACATGCCAGCACCTGGAAATTTTCCGTTATGCAGGTATGTCAACAGCACTGACAGTAGTGAGGCCTTCCAGCTGCGACGGCCCCCCCAACACTGTATCATTTAGCTTGGCGACATTTCCCATGGTTGCGCGAGGATAATTATTGAACCCACTCAGATTTGTTTCGAGGGCCCCATCCCCACACTAATCTCCCATGACACACACACACGCGCCAGGGTTGACAGTATTTGCGGATACGACAGTTGCATCCCCGGGGCCTTCCAGTGTTTATCCGGAAGTCCCTTCTGCATGACATCAGGCCTCTTCTCTTACTCTTCCCACGGTCCAGTTTCTCATCTACACTGACGTCCTCTCAACCGGGCCACTTCATGATAAAGTCACTTGTCACGATAGTCACGCACGCTGCTTAGACCCCGCGGGGCCCGGGTCGCCAAAAGGTTACCCCCCTCCCCCCCCCCACGTCTCCCATCCAGCCTCCCGAGGGGACCCCCCGCTGTTGTCCCCTGCCGGCGAGTTGCCAGGCCGGCGTTGGTGAAGGTTACTTTGCCATCAGTTGTGATTTTCGACGTTTTCCGGCCCCCTTTAAGCAGCTCCCTCCCCCCCCCGCCGTTCAAGTTACGAGAGTAAGCATCGCCCCCCCCCTCTCAATACAGGTCTTCGCTAACCTCAGAGCCCACACGTGCCGGAATTCTGACTCTGAATTCGTGCGTATTAATGAGTGCGGAGTAGGCGGCTCGACGTCTTTTCTGGAAAAAGCCAAAAGCAACTAGCCCCCCCCGGGCTGAAGAAAAGTGTCGTAGCAACATCAGCGACTGCTAAAGCTGACAGGAATCCCTCGTTCGCATACCGTCAGTGGCCGTGAATAAGGGGTTGAAATATTAAAGACCAGAGAGAGACATCATAATTGGTAGGACGGTCGTTAGTATGGCAGGCAGCCCAGAGGTCGGCAACAGCGAGTGTTTCGCCTAACTGCATTTCAGCACGAGCAGTGAACGAGCAACTAAGGCTTGCCCGACAAACGGACTCAATTTCTGGCATAAAAATTATCGATCTGCACCGCGCCGAAGAGCCTAACCGAGCGTCGAGTAGGCGTTCGAACAATACGGCTCACAGACAAGATCAAAGTCGCCAATGGGGAGGGACGTCAAGAACACGACGGTAGTCAGCCACAATCTGACAGTTGACCTGCAAACAGGCCCTAGCGTAACTTGTCCTCACCCGACCCTTACCGTTGCAAGTTCAGACAATGGGCCCCAAAGCCCAACTGCACTGAAGTTGGACACGTCTCTGACTGCCATTCAGTGGTACATTCTCACTGATGCTGATAGTAACATCCGTAGTAGCAGCAGTGGTAGTAGTAATAATAATAATATAGGTAGTGGGGGTAACAATAATAATAATTGCAATGGCAATAGTAGAAGAAGAAGAAGAAGAAGAAGAAGAAGAAGAAGAAGAAGAAGAAGAAGAAGAAGAAGTGGTGGTGGTGGTGGTGGTGGTGGTGGTGGTGATGATGATGATGATGATGATGGTGGTGATGATGATGATGATGATGATGATGATGATGATGATGATGATGATGATGATGATGATGATGATGATGATGATGATGATGATGATGATGATGATGATGATGATGATGATGATGATGATGATGATGATGATGATGATGATGATGATGATGATGATGATAGTAGTAATAGTAGTAGTGGCAGTAGATAAAGAAGAAGAAACAGACAACTTCAGAAACAGAAAGTCATTGTGACAGCGCTCTGCAACTGGGACAAGCGTCTAATTTATGTAAGTTGCGGCTGCCAGCAAAGGTCCCACACGGAGCTCTGAGTGAGCCGTGTTCGAGCCCCCCGAGGTGGTCAAACATGGACTTGGAGTACAGCAGACTGATGACGGAAAATAGGCCAGAGATAGCCATCCCAGTACCCACATCTCTGTCAACATTCCTTCTACACCGTAAAAAGCCTGGTTCGTCACCGAGACTAATCCCATTCCAAACCGGCTGCGAAAATTTATAAGAGAGGTTCGTGCCACACAAATCTTCCTCACTGAAACCCCGGGTCACAATTCAATCATCGTTCTTAGCATGACAAGCAAATTAACAAGTGGTTGTGCAAGTGGGGATGTTGACAGCAGGGGTTTTTGGGCATGGACCAATTCTTCACTCAAGTTGTATCGCCAAATCATACCGAAACAAAAGGGGCGGAGATGTATTAGGAGCTGACAGTTAAAGGACCCGTCAGGTCTTTTTTGTTGAGGACGCCCAAGTACCTGCAGACGCGGCGTTCTGCCGCTAGCCAGATGTTCCACTCGGACACGATGCGACACCAGCATGGCCTACTGCGAAGTAAGTTTTTACCCCTTTTTTAATCGCCTGAAGCATAGTTACCAAGTCTTTGGCTGACGCTACGCTCTGGTAGAGCGTCCAGTGCTAGAAGAAGTGGATGAATGTATGTAGATACGATATTCACCTGGATATTCCATGGCATTCCATCGTGAAAGAGTGCCTAAGCATAGAAAAACTGAACCTTTCCTCTGGAGACATTTCTGTTTTCCCAAACTTCATGCTCAGCTGACCTCCGCTTTTAGTTTCTCCAGCTGGATATCCTATCAGCATATATTTATCCACTTCTACTAGCAGTGGACGCTCTGTCAGAGCGAGGTATCAGCAGAAGATTGGGAAGATATGCCTCAGGCGATTATAAAAAAGAGGCAAAACGTACTTCCCAGTGGGCGTTTGTCCCAGTTGCGGACTGCTGTCTTAATGATATGTTTTTACCGGAGTTGTCTGTTTCTACTACTACTACTACTACTACTACTACTACTACTACTACTACTACTACTACTACTACTACTACTACTACTACTACTACTACTACTACTACTACTACTACTACTACTACTACTACTACTACTACTACTACTACTACTACTACTACTAATACTACTACTACTACTACTACTACTACTAATACTACTACTACTATTACTACTATTACTACTACTACTACTACTACTACTACTACTGCCACTACTACTACTACTACTGCCACTACTAATACTACTGATACTAATACTACGCAATTATGATTTATAAACTTCTCGAGTGTGTTTTTGCGTGTACGCGTGCAGCAGTTGATGGCGAAGTAGGCTCCCGACTGCGGTCTTTTATATGTCGACCCCCTCCCCATTCCCTTAGACTATAGGGCGATAATTTTGGCCGCCTGTGTGTCGAACCAAGTGCCTTGGAAAGCTCATTCGGCAAAAGTTGATAAAAATTACTTGGAGAGGATCAGTCCGCAAAAATGCTGTGGAACATACATGCCTGCACTTCATACAGCATCTGATGACCGCAGCTAGCTACCATTTCCGAACACACGTAACGAAACCATCCAAAACAGTTTGAGTGTGGGTATGGAGAACTTCGCATATTTCCAAGCGGCTGTTAGCTCCCGCATATTCCACAGCTTCTGGCAGCATTCTCCAACAACAAGCAGCCACCGCAGTCGAGAACTCCGGCGACAACAAGCCAGGTGGCTGAATAAGCATCACGCTAAGAATCCACAACGATGATTACATTTCGGAAATTAACGAATGGGATGAGGACTAAGAAGTAATCGTCGCCTCAATTAAGACCTCTTCTCCTCATCCTCCTCCTCCTCCTCCTTCTTCTTCTTCTTCTTCTTCTTCTTCTTCTTCTTCTTCCTCCTCCTCCTCCTCCTCCTCCTCCTCCTCCTCTTCTTCTTCTTCTTCTTCTTCTTCTTTTTCTCCTTTTTCTTCTTCTTTTGAAGTCAGTGCTTTCGCTGCATACCTCAGCTCGCCGTGCTCATAGAATCCATAAAAGATGGGCGTTTACACCTATCTGCAGGCCTGTGACCAGCTATTCCTGGGGCAGAGTTGTGTGAAAATCGCCGATGAGGCGCCGGATTGCATTTATGTTGAACAATATTCCAATAACATCTTCAATAAATTAGCATCCTCGCAGAATTCGCGCTTAGGAAGAAGACAAATGAACGGCCTTCCTCCGTAAGGCTGAAATATAACTAAATCCGGCTCTGTAAGCCTCAACTTTTATTAAATGTCCAACGTCAATTTTGAGGGCTCTAGACTGAGCGCACGACGCAACGAGTCGAGGATGTCCATCCCACCATAGTTAACATTCCAGATGGAGACCGACAAAATAACGAGCCCGAGGCTCATTGGTAGAGCGTTTGACTTATTAATGCACATTGACCGAAGGTTTCGGCTTTGAATCCCAGACCATGCGGATCTGGAGTGTGGTATGCCTGTTTAACGACGGCCAAGAAGTCAGAAATTGCCTTTTCGGACTCCCTTTGCCCTTTTAGGTATTGTTTTATAAAATAGACATGCCTGACTTGCAGTGAAATTAATGGGAACTCGTGCTGGACCCCTGCCATAACCTTCTGGCACCAAGTTTTAAGTGGGTAGGGCCAGCAGCAAAGACCAATAAGATTAGAACAGTCCTACGTGTTTAATTTGTGATCGGAAATCTGCTATAGGAAGACCGAAAATTTTCATCCGGATTCATCTGGTCCGAACCTCCACATGACCGTTAAAACCCCCAAGCTTATTCTACGAATCTAGGATCCAATACTCGAGCATGGAGCGTAGACTGACATTAGTTAGACCATACCTATAAGCCCCCGTCTTTCTGGCTCGTAGTTGAAGTATAGCTGACTTGCAGGATCAGATAAGCGAGTAATGACTGCTCGCGTCTGTGTTTTGTGTGCGTGTGGGCGTGGTGCGTACTTGTGCGTGTGTGTGTGTGTGTGTGTCAGTGGACCTATCGATTATTGATTTCTCTTTGTTATGCGGTTCCATGCGAGGACTCCAGCCCCGAACACCAGAAGTACACTCAACGCCTACACTTAACCTGGCAATCATATCAGATGAGGGGACAAGCTACCTCTTCTTCAGTTAATTCAAAGTCGAATGCGGTCTGCCATAGTTTGCAAGCATGAAATGCACATTTAGGGCTTATTTCCCCTCGTCAGTAGAGCCCTGAACTTGCTGGCGCAAGTTTGACCATAATCGAACAGTCTCAAGTAAATTTGCTCATACAAGGGTGTTCGACGTTTCGGCAATGAACGCGTATGTTATCAAACGTCTCACTGTCAGGAGGTCCTGGACGGCGAGGAAGCAAGTGGACGAGACGAGTGATAAGACGGACGGAACGTATAAAAAGGGGTTGGAAGCCGCTCCGAACATCGATTAAACTCGTTTGACATTATGTCCCTCGCAGAATTCAGCCGGTTTCCCAAGGTAAACCTTAACATACAGTCATTAGAAGTACATCTTGATAAACACTCCCGATTTCAAAAACGAAAAGAGGAATTTATGGGGGGCGTGTCGAAACAGATACATTATGGAGGGATTTAGATCCTGAATAGCTCTTATAAGTCTTCCTCTCTGTCCAACACACGGGACAATAAAGAGTTTCCGAAGTGGTCAGCACCTCCCGGCATCTCTTTGAATGGGTCGAACGAATTTCAGAAATAATTGGTGGCGATTCGAGAGCGGGAAGGAATACATAAATCCTAGATAAAGAAAGGCGTACTAAAGAAATTCAGTGGACCTCCTGGTGCTGGTTGAAACGATGACGCAGGGTTCAGCACCAGTAGAACTTCCCGGCCTAGTCGAAGATCACTGGGTTTTGGTTCGTTAATCGCCTGAACTCAGTAGCGTGTATGACGATTTGTAGAGGCACAGGCCGGCGTCACTCAAATTTTCCGACTTGTAATCACAGGCGCGCAAAACAGAGCAGATTTTTATCTAGAGAAACGATTTAAAATTAATAAATCAATAACGTGGGTTAAAATTTGATAAGTGCCCACATTCCTTCGATGCAGCCATTTTAACAATAAGGACAATGGGCAAGAAGTGTGTTTAACTGTCAAATAGGTCTGTTTTGGAAGAAATTAAACTAAAATAAAATTGAATAACAGAGAAGAAGGCAGGATGCCAAGCACGCATTGTCTGCAGCCGTCTTCGTTTCGTCAAGATACTCTCTGTCAGAACCAGAAATCTAATTTCCCAGATAAAACGCCAGCGATGATCTGATTGGTCGGGGGCTGGCTGCGAACTGAGATCTAAAAGGCTGACAGACATTGTTCAGCAACGGCCGCTTTGAAAAGCAGATTGCTATTAGTATCGATTGCGAAGTTACCGTTGACACTGCCCTCGGGTGATCAGTAGACATTCAAGTAGACAGTATGCTTTATACGGGCGTGGAAATCTCACCAATCGCGTGTTTGCTGTGATTTTTTCTTATCCTCCCTTTCTTTGATTCACTTTTCCCCAAAGCAGTCTGCCTGTTTCGCTTCTCATTTTTTCCTCCGACGGCCTACACATTCTTTTGTAACCTTCAAATCAAGTAAATGCTTTTTTTAGCCGGTTACAGAACCCAAAACTGGCGCCTGAGTCGAGTTAAATTGACCTCGAAACAGGGCGCCATGACAGTTTGATGACAAACACTGCAGATTACGGACAACATGGCGGAGTCAGTGACTCGGTGGTAGGGCTCTGTATTCTGTACCAAAAAAAAACCGAGATAGTTCGGGGCCACATAGTGGTCATCTAACGACGCCAAGCATGCTGGAAATCACGACTTCAGTCTCTTTTTCTGATTAGGCTTAAATTCATCCCCTCCCCCTCTCCCTCCTCCTTCCCAGAGGTCGGCCGGTATCCCAAACTAGACTTTAACGTACAGCCATTAGAAGGACATTCTGCTAACCAGTCCCGATTTCAAAAATTGAAAGAGGATTTTATGGGGGATGTGTCGAAAGAGATACATGATGGAGGGATTTTGATCTTAACTAGCTCTGGTGGATTATCCTCTCTATGCAAAACACAGGCACAGTAAAAAGTTTGCGAAGTGGCCAGCACCTCCAGGCATTTCTTTGAATGGGTCAAATGAATTTCGGAAAGAATTGGTGATTCGAGAGCTGGCAAGAATAGAAAAGCCCTAAATAAAGAAGGCGTACTAAAGACATTCAGCAGACCTCCCAAAAGCTGGCCAAAACGATGACGCAGGGTTCGGCATCAGTTTAACTCTCCGGTCTAGTCGTAGGTACACACTGATCGTTACTTGCCTAACTCAGTGGGGTGTACGACGACTTGTGGTGGCGCAGGCTGGCGTCAGTCAAATTTTCCGAGATGTGTGTTCCAACGCACACTACAGAGGGGGCTTATATCTAAATAAACTATTTGAAATTAATGAATAAACAACGTGGGTTTAGATTTGAGAAGTACCTACGTCTTTCAGTGTAGGTCATTTTAACAATAAGGACAATGGGGCAAGACATGCTTTTAACAGGCAAATTCGCTAAATTAAAATAAAACTGAGTATCAGAGACGCAGGCGGGCTACTAATCACCCATTATCTGCAGCTCTCTTCGTTTCGTCAATTTCCCACATAAAACATCAGCGATGATCTGATTGGTCGGGGGCTGGCTACGAACTGAGACCTAAAAGGCTGACATACTCCGTTCAGCAAAGGCGGCTTTGCAAAACAGATTACTCTTAATATCGATGGTTAAGTCACCTTTGACGTCGCCCTCGGGTGGTCAGAAGACATTCAAGTAAATGCTTTTTTCAGTCGGCTACAGAACCCAAAACTGGCGCCTGAGTCGTGTTAAATTGATTTCGAAACAGAGCGCCCTGCCAGTCTGACGACAAACACTGTGGATTACGGACAACACGGCGGAGTCATTGACTCGGTGGAAGGGCTCTGCATTCTGTACCAAAATAAAACCGGGATAGTTCGGGACCACGTAGTGGTCATCTGACGACGCCCAGCATGCTGGAAATCACAACTTCAGTCTCCTTTTCTGACTAGGCTCAAATACTTCCCTTATCCCCATCCCCAGGCCGCACTCCATCGCGTGAACGCGGAGACCTCCAACACCGCTCTAACTTCCTTGGTTAATGATGTGCGTAAGAACTGAAAGAACGAGACCAGCAGGACCAACCCCCAATTACCAGACACATTTAGAAACAGCGCGCCTACAACTCAACCCTGAAACATTTGAATATCGAGCCTTGTCTGCGTAACCGTATATCGTCATGATTACATTTTATACCATATTACTAGAAGTAAAGTCCCCATAATTCTGCCTCATAAGGTTCCAGTGCCTTCTGTTTCCGGGACTTTATGACATTCTTCCACCCAGCAAATGTATAAGGTCACAATACATTTAAGTAGATCACTTTGGGAGTAGATAGCCGAACGGCGTCGGTCGAACCACTGCAATTCAAAGAAATGCATATGGTGAACATACTGGCGAGGTTGATAACCAAATTCAGGCGTCCACCCAGCGGAAGTAAGTAGAAATCATGTAAGAATTGTCTCTAATAGTATAAGGTAAAAGGAAGACCGTTTCTGGCTTATTAGCCGTCCCCAGTCGGCCATACCAAACGTCCGGTTTAGAGAATTTGAAGTCCGAACCCAGGTTCTTTGGTCATTGCGTGTTTTTAAGTCGAATGCTTTACCACTGAGCCGCGGACCCATTTTCCTGACGGATGCGATCGGGAATACTAACCACCGCTGAATTGACTTTCAATGCGCGAGTATGTCGCATAAATCGATCTCTGAGAGGCTTTTCAACGGTAGATATCTGTGGCTTCGAATACTACCAGCAGAATAACTGCGACAAAAAGCATTTTCTACCACCCTAACATCTCATCTTCTACGGAACTGTTCGAAATTAGACGGAGGTAATGGCCTTACCTTTCTTAAAAATAACTTCTTTGCCCGTTCAGCCCTGAAA